CCACGGGTTCGGATCCCATATAGGGATGGCCGGTTAGCTCACTGGGTGAGCGTGGTGCTGACAACACCAAGTCAAGGGTTAAGATCCGATTACCGGTCATCTTTAAAAAAAAAAAAAAATGATAACGGGTAAGGGGATCTTAACCCTTGACTTGGTGTTGTCAGCACCACGCTCTCCCAAGTGAGCCATGGGCTGGCCCTCTAGGTGTAGATGTCTAAACAGGGGCTTTAAGCAGGGGGTTGCAACTGCTTCTCTTTTTCTCTCACCTGGGAGGCAGTGGTCTTTTAAGAAAAAAGGTTCATCACACTTTTTTTGTGCATAAGGACCATAATCCATGTGACTCATATGTTTCTTTAAGAAGGAAAAACCATTTATTACATGCCAGTACCAGGGACTCCAAGTGCCGTTTGGGGGCTTGAATTCCCCCTTCCTCTCTCCTCTCTTTGTCTCTTTCCTCCTCCCCACCCTCTTCTCCCACCTCACTTTAACCCAGAGCACACTCATTGATGGGGTGGTGGGTGGTGGCTTACTCTGGGGACGTTCTGCTTGCTGGGTAGGAGACAGAGGGGACACAGACAGGGCTGTGGAGGTAGTATGGTGAGAGGCCAGGGGTCCAGCAGGTTCAGAGAGTCCAAGGTGATTCTCCCTTGGGTGGAGGAAGATTTCCTGTTGGATGGAGCAGGGCAACAGAGTCTTGAAGGACAAATGCAACTAGATTGAAAGAGAGAGGATAAAGGTGCTTCCAGTGCAGGGAACAGCACAGGCAAAGGCTTGGAGGCTGTTGGAGGAAGAATAGGAGAGGTTGTGACCAGAGATGAGGCTGAAGAGTGAAGGGCTTGGGTGCCAGTCCAGTGAAGACTGGGGCACCATAACAATGACAACAGTGACCATTTATTGGGCCCTGTGGGTGCTAGGCACCACACAATGTGTTTTACACACAGTTTCTCATTTAGTCCTCATAATCCCTATTACAGATGAGGAAACTGAGGCCCAGATTTGAGAACTGACTTTCCTAAGTCATACAGCCTTTCTCTAACCCAGATACTAGATCCCCCCTGCATCACCCTCCCTCACTTCCCTTTTCTTTCCTCACCTGCCATCCAAGTGCCCACCTCCCCCCCACCACAGTCCCAGTAACTGAGGACCCAAAGAAGGTGTGACAGAGACAGCTGAGGGCCAACCACAATATCAGTTCTTCCCCTTTAGCTAGGCACATGGTCTCCTGGGATCAAAAACTTCATTTCCCAGACTCCCTTGCAGCTAGGTATGGCCAGGTAACTTACTCCTGGCTAATGGGGTATAAGCAAAGTACCCTAAGGCAATTTAATATAGAGAGGTGGGAGTGTCTGTAAGAGAGAGATGATGTCTTTGCCTCCCCTCTTTCCCCACCCCTTCCTGTTCCTTACAAGAATGGATGTGATAGCTGCAGTACCATCTTAGATCTTTGACTGACAGAGCAGGAAGGTAGAAGCAGCTTGCATATCCAACCATCCTAGTTTGGACTTTTGCATGAGAGAGAAATAAATGTCTATTTTTTTAAGTGACTAGTTTTTGAGGGTCTTTGTTATTCACAGCCAAAACTAATCCCCTTACTGTAGCTCCATCCTGAGATGTTGGGCCTTAGGTGGCCAGGCAGTGACCTGGACTGGGGTAGTCTATGCTGGGTGCGAGGCCTCAACCTGAGTGGGAGCTACTGGATAACAAGGTCTGGACACACCCAGGAAGGCTTCTTAGAAAAGGTGCAAAGCCTGGGGAAGGTTCAGCCCCAAATTGGCTTGAGGCTGAGTGGTAGGTGGCCTTCTTAAGGGACCGAGAGAGAAGAGAGGAAGTCCTGCGTAGAGTTCTGGGAACTCCAACATTAGAGGGCTGGGAAGGAGGAGGGGCCAGAGAGGAGGGAGGCTGGAGCCTGGAGTTCACTGACTGATGGTGACATGAAGGGGTGGTGGAGTCAGCTGAGTGAGGGAGGGGCTGGAGGGGAGAAAGTGGAGGTGGTGGGTGGA